TAGTAGTATATCTAAAGGCTTGAAGACTATAATTAACATTTGTTGCCTCAGTTATATTAATATCTAAAAATATAAAAATGAGCTAGTTGACAAAATACTTTCCTCCAACGTTGAAGGAAAAACAAGCCTAGAAATAAACTTGCCCAAGATGAAGTGTCACTATCAATAACAGTTTTATCATTGAAGGTTTAATTTTTTAAAACATTTAAATAAAAACTTTCATACATAAATAAAAATTGAGAAAATGTAATACTCATGCATCCATCTTTTTCCCATAGTGAAGGTTTTTTTAAAAAGTAGATMATTGAGCTGGGGTTGTGACTTGGTGGTAGAGCACTCGCCTAGCATGTGTGAGGCCCTGGGTTCAATACTCAGCACCACATAAAAATAAATAAATAAAATACAGGTATTATGTCCAACTACAATTAAGTAATAAATATTTTTTTAAAAAAATATTTATTATGTTTTAGTTCTCGGCGGACACAACGTCTTTGTTGGTATGTGGTGCTGAGGATCGAACCCGGGCCGCACGCATGCCAGGCGAGCGCGCTACCGCTTGAGCCACATCCCTAGCCCCAGTAATMAATATTTTTAAAAGTGGATTATTATAAGTAGACATTTTTAAGTCTTAAACATGGAGTATCTGAATAACATGATGTCTGGGGCTGGGGATATAGCTCAGTTGGTAGAGTGTTTGCCTCGCACGCACAAGGCCCTGGGTTCAATCCCTAGAACCACACACACACACACAAAAAGAACATTGTGTCTATTCAGATGTCCTTGATGCAGCTTTCCCAATATTCTACTAGAATAACCTATGAAGATGCAAAAAGTAGTWGCAAAAATAGTTCAGGAACTAAGATAAGTGTCTACCTTAATCTTTGGGGCAGAACTGAGATAAGCACCCTGACTTCATCTCCAGGATGAAGAAATGCTTGGAGAAAGGTGTGGTGAGGGGCTGGGGATGTGGCTCAAGCGGTAGCGCGCTCGCCTGGTATGCGTGCGGCCCGGGTTCAGTCCTCAGCACCACATACCAACAAAGATGTTGTGTCTGCCGAGAACTAAAAAATAAATATTAAAAATTCTCTCTCTCTCTTTAAAAAAAAAAAAAAAAGAAAGGTGTGGTGAGTCATTAACTCTATTCCATTATTATTTATTTGACTCAGTGACCAAGACCCACACCAGCCAGGTCCTGGGCATCTGCCCTGCAGGACATTATTTGATGCTGTTTCTGGGACAGGAATGGTGTCTTTTCTTACACTATTTCCTCTAACTTTCTGTATCGGTTTTAGGAAACCAGGTCCACATTGAGAAGGCAGGGTATTGATAGCAACAGAGGTCATGACCCACACAAGTAAAGTATTAAGGCAGAAAAGGGAGAGTCCTGTGTACAGGACATGCTGGAAGCTACCGTCTCTGAAATGTTTAATGCGTTCAGAGAACCATTGAGGAATGGAAAACTAGAATATATTTGGACCAGGAATGCAGTTAGTAAGTGTCTTTAAGAAACTGGGATTTAAATTGGGAGTGTATATTAGCTTATCCTCTAGTTATAGATATATGGATTTTTTTTTTTAATAACACAGGACTTCTCAGAGCTCTTTGTTTTTTTTTTTTTTTTTTTTTTTTTTTTAATGTGGTGCTGGAGATTGAACCCAGTGCCTCATGCATGCTAGGCAAACACTGTACCACTGAGCCACAACCCTGATATATGGAGTCTTTTAGCTATCATACAAATGAATTGAGATTAGGGTCAAGAACTATTTTTTTTTTTCTTGCCTGGTAACAGATGAGAAATTCCAACAAACCAATAAGGGCCTGTGAATGAAGTGAACAAATTAAAGATATGAGAGGAATGAAGGCCAGAAAGATTCACTACAAAAGACTCAGTACAGTGCAAGAAAACATTACCTTTATGAATTCTGAATAAATAGGAAACTCAATTCAGTACTTAAAGATGTCAAAAAGAGCAAAGTTGTTAAGGGCAAAAATCTGTGATGGAAGGCAGCATTGAAGGAAGAACAGTTGTCAAAAGAGCTAAGATAAAGAACAGGACTAAGCTAACAATAACTAGTATTCCTGAAAACCAGAACAAATGAAATAAAAGTAATAACAGTAATGGCTTAAAGAATTAGTGTTTACTGCATCCTGACTACATGCCAGGCACTTGACTACTTAAATCATTAGTACAGTATTCAGAGGAAAATTGCTTATTTGAACTCCTTTATGCAGAAGAAAGGGTGGAGATTTGCAGTAAATCACCTCTGGTCACACAGCTATTGTAGTTAATGAAGCTTTATTAGAAGAAAACTTTCCCAGCCAGGCATGATAGCACAAGCCTGTAACCGCTGCACCAGCTCAGGAGGCCAAGGCAGGAGGATCAGGAGTTCAAAGCAAGGCTCAGCATCTTAGCAAGGCCCTAAGCAACTCAGTGAGACTCATCTCTAAATATCAGAGATTTTAGAAATATTAAAAATTATTAATAATTATTAAAAAGGACTGGGGATGTGGTTCAGTGGTTAAGCAACCCTGGATTCAGTCCCTGGTACCAAAAAAAAAAAAAAAAAAAAAAAGAAGAAGAAGAAGAAGAAGAAAACTTTCCCCAACTGTAATGATCTATACTGTAAAGAAGGAAAAGGTTTGGTTTGTTGAATTCTGAGTGACATCAGTGATCATATTGATCACATATCACCTGCTAGCTAGGTTCACAAGAGTTGGCTGTACCAATAGCTTAAGAAAATGGTGAAAGCAGCTTGTAATACACAAAAATACCTTTTGCTTGCAGGAATCAGGAACATTTTGTGACCTTAGGGGTCTATTGGAAAGAGAGAGCGAGAGCATCCCTGAGAACCTATTTATTGAGGGGAAGACATTTGAGAAAGTTCCACCCAAATGAGGCAAGGGATTGGGTTTCAGGGGGGTGTAGCCAGTTTAATTGGTGTGACACCCACTCCCAAAGTGGAGGTGCCCAGTCTCACACCTCTGTTGCTCAAAGCTAAGGGTTCATGCTGACTCCTATGTGGCAGCTCTCGACAATCACATCTAGATCATTTTGACAAGACAGTTTTGTTAGTACAAATGCTTTTTTTTTTTTTTTGTACTGAGACTGAACCCAGGGGCGCTTAACCACTGAGCCATATCCCTAGCTCCTTTTTTATATTTTATATAGAAATAGGGTCTTGCTGAGTTGCCTAGGGGCCTCGATAAATTGCTGAGGCTGGCTTTGAACTCAAGATCCTCCTGCTTCAGTCTCCCAAGCTGTTGGAATTAGAGCCTTGCATCACCACGCCCTGCCCCCCTTTATTTTGGGGGTGTACCAGGGATTGAACTCAGGGGTACTCGACACTCAGCCACATCCCCAGCCCTATTATGTATTTTATTTAGAGACAGGGTTTCATTGAGTTGCTCAGCACCTTGCTTTTGCTGAAGCTGGCTTTGAAGTCTTGATCCTCCTGTCTCAGCCTCCCAGGATTATAGGCATGTGCCATCATGCCCAGCCCCTTTTAAAAAAATTCACTAATAATTCATTGTATATTTGCCAGCAGTAATACCACAGGTAAGATTCTTAGATAATGATTTATATAGGCATCTCTAGTCTTAGCCTTTCTTTTTATTCCATATTTGTACTCCTGTCCAATATAAAACATCAGTGTGTTAGTAGAGTTTTAGAATTATTATTCCATTACTAATCACAGTTCTTTTTTAAGGTTGGAATATATTCTTCTGAAGGTGGATGGTTCAATCCCCAGTACTGACAAAAAAAATTTTTTGTGAGACATGATGTCATAGATCTGTACTCCCAGCTTACTCAGAAAGCCAAAGCYAGAGGATTGCTTGAATTCAGGAGTTTTAAAGTTATACCTGTACATAATTACTCTGAAGTATTTTAATTCATTTTTTGAGTAATTACCTTTGTTTCTCTTGTGTTTATAGTACATATATATTATACTTTATGTTTTTTTTAAGTCTCTGTTTCATAACTTAGTATAGATAACACCTTTTTTTTTTTTTAAGAGAGTGAGAGAGGAGAGAGAGAGAGAGAATTTTTAATATTTATTTTTTAGTTCTCAGCGGACACAACATCTTTGTTGGTATGTGGTGCTGAGGATCGAACCCGGGCCGCACGCATGCCAGGCGAGCGCGCTACCGCTTGAGCCACATCCCTAGCCCCAGATAACACCTTCTTATTTGTACTTGCACTACCATAAGATTTAGCAGGTGATATATTTATCATCTCTTGTTGTGTCTCAGGACAAAACACTCAGGGTCACTCCAGGTGATCTGGGCTACACGAAATAATCACATAGAGACAGAGAAATCCTTTTTTCTTTGGGTCCTGTGAAGGCTCCTCTGACCTTAGTGGGGGAAAGAGAGAGAGAGAGAGAGAGAGAGAGAGAGAGAGAGAGAGAGAGAGAGAGGGAGGGAGGGAGGGAGGGGGAGGGAACAAGAGCAAGGGAGCGCATGGCGCACATGCTGAGCCCTTTTATTGGGGAGAAACCGTTCAAATGAGGCAAGGGGTCAAGTTTCAGGGGGTTGAATTTAGCTTGTTGATGTCTGCTGTCAGCAGACTGACATCTAGGGAATTCTTGCCCATCTCATGAGCTGTGTGGGGATCATGGCAGAACAAGCGAAAAGACCAGAGCGAAGCCTAACCAGAGGGGCAACGTGGGCTCAATGCCCATAGTTCACACACAGCCCATAGCTGGCTTTTGCCACATCTCCACATTCTCATCACTCAAGGCTAAGGGGCGCTCGGTTCCTATGTGGCAGCTCCTGACAGTCTCTCTCCTATTTTCTATCATCATTCTCTAGAGAGTTGGATTTTTAATACCCAAGGGAATACCTAACAGTAGTAGGTACTTAATACATATATATATTAATTGAAAAAGGGAATTTAAAAGAATCATTAGAACTTTAGAAAACAGTGAATAAAAAGAAATTGTGTACATTTCCTATTTTTCCTAAAGTCATGCATCTCTGTTTCTTCTCTCCAATTTTAGTCTGTGCAGAGACCTATAACCCTGATGAGGAAGAGGAAGATACTGATCCAAGGGTAAGGACTAAAGCAAAAGTTATGTAGAATTGTTGTATTTCTCACTATCTCCTTTCTTTTACATACCAAAATTTAATCATACTGGGGCTGGGGTTGGCTCAGTGGTGGAGCTCTTGCCTAGTATATGTGAGGCACTGGGTTTGATCCTCAGCACCACATAAAATAAATAAAATAAAGGTATGGTGTCCACCTACAACTCAAAAGATTTTTTTTTTAAAAATTTAATCATACTGATGATTAAAATAAATATAAATTAAAAAGCTCTGTAATAAGATGTCATTTTTTAATTTTTTTAATTTAAGTTTTATCTTTTTTGGTGCTGGGGATTGAACCCAGGGATACTTTAAACACTCAGCTACATTCTCACTTCTTTTTATTTTGAAATGGGGCCTCACTACTTGCCAAGGCTGGCCTTGAACTTTTGATCCTTCTGCCTCAGCTTCCTGAGTATGTGGGATTACAGGTAATGGTGCCACATGCCTGGCACCATTTTTTATCTAGCAGATTGAAAGCAGCACTGTTTAAGGGTGTGATGAGGAGTACCTAGCTGTAGCTGTCAGAAATCTTAAAACATGATGAAACCAACTGATTCAACTGTTAACCCAAAGGGGAATTTAGCCCTAATAAACAGTTAGATCTTTTCTAAGAATATACAAATGGAGACCATTACAGTGTTGTAATAGTGAAAAATGGAAACAAGCTAAATGACCTTAAATAAAGGAATACCAGGGATTAAACGATGTTAAATTCAAGTCAACAGAATCTGCAGCCATTGAAAATGATTATATAGGGCAGGATAATGGCATAGAATATATGTTTGTATGAGGTACATTTTAGAATATTTTATAGCATAAAAATTTAAATATATTTATCTGTTTATGTATTTGTTTTTATGTATATACAGAAAATTAAAGACACTTTAATGTTTTATCATATATACTTTAAAATGGGTAACCTGTGAAAGATTTTTGAAGTATTCTAATGATAAAATGCTACCATCATGTAATTACAAATTTAGAATAAATTGATAAATTTTAGTATTCTGGATACTATAAAATTCTTAATGTTTTTAAAAATTAAGACACATTTTTTTCAACTTTAATATTACATATTTAAAATAATGGCATTTCTGTCAGATTAAATGGTATACTTTTTTAGAGTGAAGATATTGCTTTGAGGGAACTTGATAGGTATCTCAATTATAATACCAGTGTAAGGTAGTAATTATTTCTTTTTAGTTCAGGAAGCATTCATTATCTATAATAATAATGAAAATAATAGTGTTTTGACCACCTATTATGAATGCAAATTATCGTTTGTTTAATCCTTATGACAGTTAAATCCTTAATTGTTATTTAATCCTTAAGACAACTTTAATTTGCAGATACCACTACTCCTGCTAATAATAAATTGTTAATAYTTTAGCTACAGCCATTGTTTACTTACCATCTTTACTTAGATGTCAATAGACAATTTAACAAGAACTCCTGATTTCCCTTTAAATATTCTTTTCCTCCCCCAGCCTTTCCCTGTTTTCATTTATACCAGCTCCAGTGTTCATTTGCTTTGGCTGAAAACTTGAGAGTCCCCTTCAGTTTACTTCATTTTTTTCCCCCACATCCAATTTTTCAATAAATCCCATGTCTTCAGAGCATATTGTGTACTTCTCAGCACCTCCATGGCTACCACCTTGGTTCAAACCACCACCATCTGGCACTAAGATAGACACTCTGGCTTCCTGGCTTCCATTCTAATCTTTTTTCAGCTTTTCTTCATTTAGCAGCCAGTATGTATCTTTAAAAACAGATTTCCTCCTCAGTTATTATCCTCAAATCACTCCCATGGTGCTAGAGAAAAATTCCAGTTTCTCTATGATTTACCATGACCTCTGATTTGAGCATCTTTCTCTCCCCAACCCCCCAGCCCAGTCTCTTGATTTTTCCCTCTTACTCTGCATCAATCACATCTATCTCCTAGTTATTTTTCGAATTTGATATTCAGTCTCCCATTGTAAAACCTTGATTTTACTTGCTCTTCCTACAGAGCATGACTTACTCCCTCAGGTTGTACTCATTTCCTTGAGATATGTACACATTGTTACCTGAATGAGGCCTAACTTGTGGCTTCCCCCATCCCTTGCCTTAATACTTATCTCCTTTACCTTAATACTCTCTAACATATTTATATACTCATTGAATGTAAAGGTAGGTATTTTTGTCTGTGAGTTCACTGCTGTGTGACAAGAGTTAGGATGGTACTTGGCACTGAGTCTGTACTCAGTATTTTTTTTTTAATTTAATTTAATTTTTTTTTTTTAAAGAGAGAGTGAGAGAGGAGAGAGAGAGAGAATTTTTAATATTTATTCTTTTTAAGTTCTCGGCGGACACAACATCTTTCTTTGTATGTGGTGCTGAGGATCGAACCCGGGCTGTACGCATGCCAGGCGAGCGTGCTACCGCTTGAGCCACATCCCCAGCCCTGTACTCAGTATTTTTTGAATGAGCAAATTTATAACCCTTTGCTTTATATATGAAGACCTTGAGGCTCCTTAGGGATAGTTGACTTGCTGCCAGTCACACAGCCATCAGATAGCTCCAGGGTCATGCTCGTCACCCTTGTATAACATTGCTCCTTCACATTCAGGATATTGCTTGGTATTTGTGTAGAATTAAAATTATAGAAAACATGCTTTTAGTTTTTCCTACTTTAAAAAATACATATATATATATATTTTTTTTTTTCTATATTTATATTTTTTTATGGACATAATGCCTTTATTTATTTTTATGTTGTACTGAGGATTGAACCCAGTGTATCACATATGCTAGGCAAGCACTCTACCACTGAGCTACAACTCCAATCCCAAATTTTTCCTACTTTTTAAGAGAAAGAGATATATCACTTTTTAAGAAGGTAAGTTTTAAATGCAATAAACCATTTTCCCTGGCTTTATTTGGTTTGACAGGTGATTCATCCTAAAACTGATGAACAGAGATCCAGACTTCAGGAAGCTTGTAAAGATATTCTTCTTTTCAAAAATCTTGATCAGGTAATAATGATTTTAAAAATATTTTTGTTATAATTACTTTTTAGTTTTTTTCCTATTAATCATTTAAAGTTTATAGCATTTTAGTCATAGTTGTATGAAACATGAAATCTTTTTACTTAACAAACATTTTATTGCGTTGACCACTATAATGTGAACATGATTTTTCACATGACTTTTAATATTTTTCTGATCTGCTTCAACACTTCTTCAAAGATAATGCTGGTAATATGAGGATCATGTGATTTAGTTGTGTTGCTAGAAAATGCTCTGGTCTGCATGATTCTGGCCTGGCTTGGTTTGGAGGGTCTGAATTTATGCTGCAAATGGATTCATTTGTCCAAAGATGCTCTCTTGTAATTTTCTTCACAAGGTAACATGTTAACCCACTAGAATTATGTGATTATTTTTTTTTTAAAGAGAGAGAGAGAGAGAGAGAGAGAGAGAGAGAGAGAGAGAATTTTTAATATTTATTTTTTAGTTCTCGGTGGACACAACTTCTTTGTTGGTATGTGGTGCTGAGGATCGAACCCGGGCCGCACGCATGCCCCGCGAGCGTGCTACTGCTTGAGCCACATCCCCGCCCTGGGAATTAGGTTTTAACATGAATTTGAGAAGAACATATATCTTTTGCCTATAGCAATAGGAAATCTTCAGAGTTTCTATTTCCCTACTCTGAAAGCCATATGCTAAAGCTATATTCTTCTTCTTGCTTGAATGAAACTCCTTTATGTATATGTGCCAGATTTTCTTTCATTCTTCTTATGCTTAAGTGAAATCCCATTATGTATATATCCCATATTTCATTCATCCATTGACTGGCAACTAGGCTGGTTCCATTATTCAGCTACTGTGAATTGTGCTGCTGTAAACATGGGTATGAATGCATTGCTATAGTATGATGACTTTAATTATTTGTGATAAATATGAGAAGTGGTATAGTTAGGTCATGTGGTAGTTCCATTTCTAGTCTTTTGAGGAATGTACAAACTGATTTCCATAGTGGTTAAACTAATTTATAATCCCCCCAACAATGTAAAAGTGCTCCTTACCCCCCACATTTTCTTCAGTATTGCATACACTTGTCTTAAGTGTGCTTTGAAATTTGACAAATGCATATGCAGGTATTAAGATATAGAACATTACCACCATCCCATGCCTTTTTTTTTTAAATATTTTTTTTAGTTGTTGATAGACATTTATTTTACTCATTTACTTATACATGGTGCTGAGAATCGAACCCAGTGCCTCATACATATCAGGCAAGTGCTCTACCACTGAGCCACAATCCCAGCCCCCATCCCATGCCTCTTTTTTTTTTTTTTAAAGAGAGAGAGGGGGGGGATTTTTTAATATTTATTTTTTAGTTTTCAGTGGACACAACATCTTTATTTTATTTGTATGTGGTGCTGAGGATTGAACCCAGCGCCCTGTGCATGCCAGGCGAGCACGTTACCGCTTTAGCCATAGACCCCATCCCATGCCTCTTAATGATTATTTCTTATCTCCCTCCTCCAGAGGCAACTACTGTTTTGATTTATTGCYTAATAAACTAGATTGCCTGTTCTAGAATTTAACACTCTGGGTTTAACCCCAGTATTGAATTTTAAAAGCCTGGGGTAGGGGGGTGCAGTATGTACTCTTTTGCATGAAATTTCTTTTTCATTCAGTATTGGGATGAAACCCAGATCTTTTTGTATGCTAAGCAAATGGTCTTAACACTAAGCTATATCCCCAACTCTGTATGAAGTTGCATAATATTTCTGTGGTTTATTCATATTCTTGTATATATCAGTAATTCATTTCTTCGGCCTCTTCCTCCTCTTCCTCTAGTTCTCTTCCTCCTCTCTCTTGTTCTCCTTCTCTCTCCCTTTTGGTCGCTCTCTCATTCTTCCTCTTGTTTTTTTTGTTTTTGTTTTTGTTTTTAATTGAACTCAGGGGTGCCTAACCACTGAACAACATCCCCAGCTCTGTGTGTATGTATGTGTGTGTATTTATATATGTGTGTGTGTGTGTGTGTGTGTGTGTGTGTGTATTTAATTTAGAGACAGTCTCGCTGAGTTGCTTAGGACCTCGCTCAATTACTGGGGCTGGCTTTAAACCCGGTATTCTACTACTCAATCTCCAGGTGGGCACCACTGCAACCAGCTCCTCCTCCTTTTTTAATTTTTACTTTTTATTTTGAACAAGTTTTAGACTTACAAAAAAAAAGTTTGAAAAATAGTATATATCTCTATAAGGGAATAAGTCATCGCTTATCCAGTATCTCAACAACATTACCATCTTACATAGTCATAATATAGTTATCAAAATCAAGAAATTGGAGCTGGGGTTGTGGCGTAATAATAGAGCACTTGCCTAGCATGTGCAAAAAAACCAAGGAATTGACATCATTACAGTAGTATAAGTTAAAAATCACCTTGTTCAAATTGGTTTTCTCACTAATTGTGCTCCTTCTCTTTTGTGTGTGTGTGGTTCTGGAGATTGAACCAGGGCCTTCCCATGCTAGGTAAGTGCTCTGCTGAGCCATATCTCAGCCCTTTTTATTTTAAGATAGAGTATTACTAAGTTGTCGGGCTGGCCTCAAACTTGTGATCCTCCTTAGCCTCCTATGTAGCTGGAATTACAGTTGTGCACCACTATGCTCAGCCTCACTAATGCATTTCTTCTAAAGGTCTAATCCAGAATACCACATTGCATTTGGTTGTTATTTCTTCTTAGTGTCCTCCATTCTGGGACAGTTTTCATTCCTTCCTTTTTTTTTTTTTTTTTGTATCAGGGTGCTCTACCACTGAGCAACATCCACAGCCATTTTTTTTTAATCTTTTTTTTTTATTTTGAGACAGGGCCTTGCTGTGTTGCTGCTTAGGGCCTCACTAAGTTGCCAAGTTAGCCTTTGTCAAACTTGTGATCCTCCTGCTTCAGCCTTTTAAGTCACTAGAATTATAGACATGCGCTATCATACCAACTCTCCCCAGCCCTTTAAAAAAAAAAAACAAACATAAAACAGATATAACACTTTTTTATACCTTTATTTTATTTATTCATTTTTATGTGGTGCTAAGGATCGAACCCAGTGCCTTGCACATGCTAGGCAAGCGCTCCACCGCTGAGCCACAACCATAGCCCCTAGCCCTAGCCCTTTTTAAAAATTTTTTATTTTGTAACTTTGCATCATTTACAAGAATGGGAAGTTATGTTTCATATATGGGTAATATGTTGAAATATAGTCTACTATCATGTATAACTAAAAAAGACAAATAAAAAGTTTTTTAAAATAAAATAAAAACTTTCTATTTTGAGACAGTGTCTCACTGAGTTGTCCAGGCAGGCTAGCATTGAACTTGCAATCCTTTTGTCTTGGCCTTCTAAGTAACTGGGGTTACAGGTATACCACCATGCCTGGCTTGTTTTGTTTTTCAGTCTTGAATTACATATTGCAATTGGTTGTTGTAGTATCATTTTACCCCCTCTAACCTAGAATGCTCCCCTGTCCCCCTATATTCCCATATCTTATGACACTGATTTTTTTGAAGAGTCTAGACTAGAAGAAGAAAAGTTAGAAGCAGCTTCTAAGAGATAACCCATAAGCCAGGTATAGATGTATGTTGATCTGTATTATACATGAAAATTTATATTTATGACAGTATTTTTTCTGCATTTTTTTAAACTTGCCAGTATTTAAATAGGAGATTTCAAGCAACACTGGACCCACGTTCCATAGAATATATGAGTATTAAGCCGTCCTTTTTAGTATTTTCAGCTTTTATGGTATTCAGCACATGAAACGTGCTAGGCGAGTGTTCTACTGCTGAGCCACAATCCCAGCCCCTCTTCCTTCCTTCCTTCCTTCCTTCCTTCCTTCCTTCCTTCCTTCCTTCCTTCCTTCCTTTCCTTTCCTTTCCTTTCCTTTC